TGCAATCATAAAGATATCAAAATTCAGAAAAATTGACCTTTAATTCAATTTTTAAATTTCAATTTTTTGTTGGCTTTCATGCAATAAAGTTATCGAAGAATTCTAGAAAAAAAAAACTAAATCATTAAAATTGCTTGACGTAAAAGAAATTGAAAGATGACAGCAGGCAATGAAATTAATTTTTCATCAACTATCAACATTAAATTATCGCGACAAATGTCGCATTCATATGTTTAATTTAAAGGTTATAACAAAGATAAATGTTAACATTAAATGATAATTTTAAAAGAAGCCAAGAATGCGTAGTATAAGTGTTAAACTTAACAATTACTAAAAAAATGACTTTTCTTTTTTTTTTTTTTTTTTTGTTAATTCTTGTTTTTCTGTTGAAACATTCAAAATTATTCTGTTTTAAAATTTCAAAAAAAAGATCAGAATTTTTCAAATTCAATTAATTTTAACTCAAAATCCAATTCAGCCCTTTCCAAGTAAATTCAAAACGAAATTAAGTTCTGAAAAATTTTGAGAAAAAATTAAAAGAGAAAACAAAAGAGATTAAAACATCTTTTCCTATCACACCATTTTCAACTATGAAGCTTATTTTGTTGCAACACAAGGAATGAAAAAAAGTTTTAGATTGTTCCAGCAGAAAGATTGCGAAAGTAATTACTGCTCTAACGAATTAATAATCGATTTAATAGTAATCAGTAATTGATATACTCAATAATTGATATGCAAGAACTGATTCAACATTAGCAGAAAAATTGAGGAAAGTGATGCTTCACATTTTTGCATCATTTGCTAAAAAAGATTGTGCAAAATTTTTTTGCAAAATGTTGCAATTCAACAATTAATTACGAAATTTTTTCTTCACTAATTAAATCAATTATAATTTCACAGTATCTATTTATATATTTCAACGCAAATAACAAAATATGAACATTTCCGTGCATACCAAATAATTAATTTTATGTATTAAAGCTAATTAAAGCCCTATTTAACCATTAAATTTTAGTTTTTTAATATCAATTTCATCGACTTTTACTTTTGAGACATTAAAAATCAACATGAAAAAAGTACAAAAATTCATTTCAAATTAAGTATTACATTGATAAAATATCGATTACAGCCTAAACATTCAAATATTATTGCTAAAATTTATCCATTTGCAACTATAATCATTCCAGTCTTTTCTTTTTTTCCATTTTTTTTTCATTCAAATCAAAATTTCCTAACAAAATTTTCTTTTGTTTAAAAATAGTTTGTAAACTATCATTCTTTGATAACATTTATCAAATCGACAATTTTTTTATCAATCTATTTGTACGTTTTTTTTTTTTAAATTAGTTCGATCCAAATAATAAAGTTTAAAAATTTATTATTTCTTCACGCATTCTTACAGCAATCAAAACAATCAACCGATCGGTCAATTAATTAATTAGTCGATCAGAGCCGCAAAACAGACATTGATAGACAAAAAAGGAAATGAAAAATTCTAACTGAAGGTGAAAAAATAGGAATGATTTTATAAAATTCTTCTGTACAAGTACTCATTAAATATTCATAAATTCTTCATTCAACAACAGGAAAAAATAACAATTAAAATCACATTTTTCATTGACAATTTCATTCATTTGTAATTAAAATTTCATTTCATTAATAATATTACTTTTTTTTTGAAAAAATTTAATTTTCTATTACAATTTTTTTCTTTCTTTTTTCCTAATTCTTATAATTATTTAATTATTTTCGTCGTTTTCTCATTATTTTCACTATTTCCAATGTTTAAATTCGATTATAATGATAGTATTTGAATTAGTCGATTTGTAAATTCTAATATTAATTCATACCAATTACAACAATCCTTCGTTTTTTTTTCCTTTAGAAGTAAACAAACATAAATAAAACTTGAATAACTGGAATAGATATTGAAAAGATCAAAAAGAAAGAGAAGTATTTGGTAGTAAGAAGAATTGAGATTTTTTATATTTGTTTTTTTTCTTTTAAACGATTATTTGGCTTAAAATTAAATTTTTACTCCAGTTAACCTAAACAGTGCCGGAAACGATAAGTTAATTTTGTTTAAAAAGCTTCAAGTAGTTGTAAATAAATTTCGAAAATGCTATTCCTAATTTTTTTTACACATAAATTTCTACAAATATATCATTGCTTGGTATTTGATAACAATGTTCCTTATTTAACCGCCTTGATTATATTACAGCTTTCGTTTTATCTTATCCATCCTGATAATTTCTAACCAATGATAAAAATTTTCATTGCTATGACAAAAAGTAAAAATGAAAATTTAAATTGTGTAAACAAGTTTTTGTTTATTTTTTAGTCCCTAACTAAAGATGAAAATCTTCATTGCTATGATAAAAAGATAAAAATGAAAATTTAAATTGTTTACAAAGTTTTTGTTTATTTTTTTGGACGGCGCTAAAAAAAAAAAATGACATTGCATTCTTTACCATTATAATTGACTATTCAAAAAAAAAAAAGTTTTTTTGAATTAATTATTCAAAAAAAGACAAAAGGCTTCTTTGAATTAGCTATTTAAAAAAAAAAAATAATTTTGAATTTTTTTTTTTTAACAAAAACGACATGAACGAGTACATTGTTGTTGCATATAAGTTGCAGCTTTTAAGCAAATATTCGAACTGATATGAATCCAATTAGCACACCATGGTGAAATATCCGTACATATTTCTGTAAAATGAAAAAAAAAAAAGTTATGTAGAAAACAATGGATTTAAAGAAGGAAAAAAAAGAGTTAGCCTGATTAGGCTAATAAAGTATTTGTAAAAGCCTAAAATAAATGTTACTTTTAGTTAGAGTATAAAAAAAAAAATTTTTTCAATATAAACAAAATTAATTTCTTTTTTTGGTAAAAAATATCAAACAAAATAGCTATTTAAGATTAAATTAAAAACATGAACTTGTAAATTTTACTAGAATTGTACTAGAATTTGAATACTAGAATTTGAAAATTAAACAGAATATGAAAAAAAGAACGAAAAAAAAAACATACTATTTTGAAGGTATGGTAATTTACGCCGAATAATGCCTTGTTTTCGTTGAAAATTTCTCAATCGATGCTTATAATCGATCCGTGTTGGTAATAATGATTGTGATTTAATTGGTACAGTTGGTGGTGACATTAATAATGATGGTGCTATTGTCGCAGTTTTTGATGAATGTCGTAACGGAAAACGAGATGTTGAAAAAATTGATACAGTAGCTTTTTGATTCATTAATAGCATTTATACCTGAGTTAATTGTTACACCTGGTCCTATTGCTCCTAAAAAATATTGTGTTATTTAATTTTGTATAAGGATGAAATGCTAATTTATTATTAAAATTTTTGAAAATTATATTTAATCATTC